AAAAATAACAACACTTTGTCAGGACCATGAGGCGATCATTCCTACCAACTTTCAGTTCAATCGGCCCAGCAGAACTTGACTTTAAGTTTGAAATGTAAAATGTTAACGGACGACGGACGACGACGGACGAAAACGGATAGCAAAAGGTCACTTGAGCTAAAGCTGAGGTGACCTAAAAATATGTCAACAATTACCCATTTAAATTACTCGGAGGCACTGTCTTTAACCGGTACAAACTTTAGGTAGGAATACAATCGTTTGAATTACTAGCTGAAATGGCACTTTAAATAAAGCTTATGTATTCATTATTGTTAACAGGCCCTTGGTTTTACATATATACCGGTAAAATAAGTTACTAGGGCTTTTTAATATTTTTTTTGGTGCACTCCCATAGCAACAATAAGTTTGGTTTGAGGCCAACATAACTCTCCATAACCAGTAAAAGAGAAATTTAGCTCCGCATTACCTAGGTATATAAACGAACTTTAGATAATATTCCATTTCGTAGCATTTAGTTAGGTTGGAAAAGAGTTTGACATGCTATAAGTCCTGTGCACTATTTTTATCAAAACATCAGTCTTAATGGCTTATTTTTAACTATGTTTACCTCGCTATGGGAATTTAGATAGGGTATTTGAATAGTACTTTTCAGTGGGTTGGAAGTTAGTGAGTATAGCCTCTTTGGGGTTGCTTGTTGAACCTTAAAGCATGGAAGAATTCCAAATGAATTATGGATGATAAGGATGAAGACAAAGTGATTGGCAAGTATATGTAATGTCATACTTACAATTTGTGGTGGGACGTTTAATCTTATCTGGATTGTGTTTTACGTTATACGGAATTTTAAAGGCAACTTTTGCCGTACTGCATATGTTTCGGAACATTTAGACTTTGATTTTAACTGTTTTCACTTTACGTGCCACAGATGAATACGGAATGGACGAAATGGCTATATAATGTCATAAAATGTCTTCTTTGTTCGACTTTTTGCTTTGACAAACTAAAGATTTAAATAAATGCTTCTTTAGTTTATATTTCTTCTACGTGTCTTTAAAACCATATTATCAACATTTTGTCGACATACATGATCTGATATTGAAGTGAAGTAATGACTTATCAATGTCGTACTGATAACCTGTGATGGGACATCAAAGAGTTTCAAACATGTTTGACAACACATGATTTCCGAGATCGAGAAAACTCCTGCAAAACAGGTTTTAATGACATAATCTTTCACGGTATCTCTAGGACAAGCCTGGCAGCACAAAATGTTCATCTATGCAGTGTTCTTAGATACCGTAACATAATAAACACGCGGACAATGAAATCTGCTTTTGTTCTGTCTTTACAGATTTTAGCTAGTATTTCTTAGGATATTTATAATTAAATCAAGCAAAAGTGTATATTGAGTCATAAGGAAAATATTTATAATTCTGTTTTCCAGTTTCAATAATTTTAATTTAGATTTCACATAAGATTGACGTTTTATGGCGAGTAATGCTGTTTTAAGAATGGACATTCGACTGATACTGAGGGAAATAATAATAGGAAAAGGACCATAGCAGCAACTCGGAAAGAGAAAATTCACTCCGTTCTTCTAAATTGTATTGGGTGGGAGTGGACGATTTCACTTTAACCAGAATGGTGCCAATATATTTGTTTGTGGTATTTTATCTATCTAAATGTTTTACTCCACAGAGACCAAAATGGCGTCAATGCGGAGAAGTATTTAAGCTTTTATTGTCTTCCTACGATTTCCAAACATCCGAATAACCCTTCAATATCATAAACAAATCTACAAACCTATTCAAAAGTATTAAAAAATCAATTTAGTTTTTAAATATTTCATGAATGCATTATGTTTTCAACTAAAGTTTGTAATTGTATCTCTTGACTCTGAATAGTCAACCCCTATCCTGCCAATGGATGAGAGATGAACGTAACATGCAAACATGTTATTGCACCTTCACAATATTGGTAGACACAGCATGCAAAAAATTTAAAACCTTTTTTTTTTTTTTTTTTTTTTATATATATATCTGCTTCAATTGTTCGCTAAAGTGGTCGCGCCATTAACATGGTAACACTGGACCTAAAAGATCGTATATCTCAAATGTTCGTTTAACAAAAAAATAAATTAAAAAATCTACAATTCGTATTCTTACTAACCTATTTAGTCCCTGCAGGTAGGGCATAAGAATTGTACCTGCTTGGGGCCCCCATTGTATGATCGTAAGAGGCGACTACATTTGGTATCTTATCTTTTCTCTTCGTTCTAAACAACTTTCTTCTTCCTAATGTCTTCATTGACAATGCCTCACTTTTGGCCTTTAGTTGAGCGTTCACCCCTGTGAGGAAGGCTTTCGGTTCTGTCCCCTAGATGAGACATACAAGAGTCTGAAAAAATGGTAGTTTCTACTCCTGCTTAACGCTCAGCTATTTGGGAGTGGGACGACTGGTTCGCCCGTTGTCGGTATAATGTGACCGGATGGAGTGTCCTGCTGGATGTCTTAGGCAGTATGTTTTAGTGAGGAAGCATTATAAAGTCGGCATGAGTTCCGCGCTATCACAAGACCACAAACACGAACATATCGCAGCCTCCCAAAACACACACGCATACACTACACGCATGCATCTTACAGACAGGGGAGGCAGTATTTAAATGACCATAGCTGTTGACAGGACGTTAAACAATACTAAACCAAACTAAACCAAACCAAACCAACTAACCTATTTCTAGGTCGTCCATATTTTGCGCATACACATATTTGCATGCTATTATTTTTTCCCGTTCCAATCATATGAATAATAATTGATGCTTTACTGTCTTTCAAGTTTAAAAAATATGTTCTGCATTATTAAAACCAATTCGTGGCAAATGTCTTTAATTTCTCTCCTCAATGACCATGATTTAGACGGCTATTGCTAGTCGCACCTAAACCTATTTCACCTTGTAGGACTTTCGGTAGATAACAGAGGTCAAATGTTACGGACGACCTTGATCTCTAGCTACAATCTTATTTTCCAAGGGCAGAAACACATCTTATTGACCGATATAAGTATAAACAGCATATTGACCTTGATAACATTTTGTATGCCTTCATATCTTCGCGAGTTATAATTTTGAAATGTAAGCATTGTAAAGCAAATATATTACTCTGTATAACAACTGCTATCAGTGTATAGTAAACGATTAAAAGTGTACAAAGGTGGAGTAACGAGTATTACAAGACAAAACAGCAATTACCGAGGTATGGCTATTGTATAACAGTTTTTTTTTATATGACAGCGTATAGATGTGTTGTAAAGACTGTATTACAAGACATATCAGAAATTATCGAGGTATGGCTATTGTATTGCAGGTTTTAAAAATATATACAATAGTCTATGAAGGGTGCAGAAGACCTTATTACAAGGCACAACAGAGGTATGACAATTGTATCATGTTTTTAAAAGCATGGTAAGAAGGATAATAAAACAACATGTTTCGAGATCGGAATATGTAACATACTGTATTAAAATTACGTACGGGATGATATGATACCGAACACCGTACAACAAGAGGAAGCAATGTGCAACAATATTCAGTAATGTTCAACAAGATAAAGCGCATCTGATCACAATACAATTCCTTGTTCACTTTCAGTTTATCAATCTCTGATAAAAAAAAATATCTGAACATGGAGGATCTAACGTAACGCAACAGGTTAGGATACGCCTTCTTGTATTTTGCTTGTATTCCTTGTTTCAGTATAAAGTTATAAGATTGGAACTCTTCTTTGTATTCAAAATTTCGATTGTTTTATAAACAGAATATATTAAAGAATTTTATGTAAACGAATTTGTGTTTGGAATTACATATATGTTAAATGCTCAATATGTGGGGGAAATGTATTGTTTCATTTTCAACAATACAAGCGTGACAAGCAAGCCTTTGTGGTTTGGTTAACTAAGGCATTAGATGACACACTTTCGGAACACATTGGCGTTACTGATAAGGCGTGTAACTATATGAGGCGCCAGCAGATCGGCAGATGTGTGACCATTCCCACGTCGATATGAAGGTAGCTCTTGTGATCCTCTCCCTGGTCGGAGCAGTGTTCGGACAATTGCCCACACCGTGCAGTAAGTACTGACAAAAACCAATATTATTAATGTTTTGAGTACCTTATTTTTTGACAAAATAAATACACGTTATGTATATATATATATTAAAAAAACACTAAAATTCCGTGCAATCTATCCAGTACGTTAAACGCTCGTAACTTCGTATGCGCGATGCAAACATTTCCATAAATCTGCATTCAATATTGAATAATTTAATAATTATCGTAAAAAATACAATAAGGATAAAATTGGAAACATATGAACAGGAGGGAAAAAATAAAAAGATAAAAAGATATCAAAAACAGGAAGTCGATATAGGTTGTTCTGGAAGAGTATGCGTTTCGCGCACCACAAATGACACCCTAATGATAAAAAGAGGCCCATGGGCCTAAACGGTCACCTGAGTCCTACAGTATTTATTTTTGTTGTTGAAATATGTACCAATTTGAGTACAAAATAGTTAAGTATAACGTTAACTTAAGTTTGTCAGGACCATGAGCTGATCATTCCTATACCAAGTTTCATTTCAATCGGCCCAGCAGAACTTGACTTAAAGTTTGAAATTGGTTTTTTTTCAAAATGGCGGCCCTGGCGGCCATATTGGATTTCTGATGAACCCAAAAAAGACAAACACTTTGTCAGGACCATGAGTCGATCGTTCCTACAAAGTTTCAGTTCAATCGGCCCTGTAGAACTTGACTTTAAGTTTGAAATATTTTCAAAGTGGCGGCCATATTGGATTTCTGATCGACCCGAAAAATAACAACACTTTGTCAGGACCATGAGTCGATCATTCCTACCAAGTTTCAGTTCAATCGGCCCAGCAGAACTTGACTTTAAGTTTGAAATACTTTTTCAAAATGGCGGTCGTGGTGGCCATATTGGATTTATTATTGACCCGGAAAATAACAACACTTTGTCAGGACAATGAGTCGATCATTCCTACTAAGTTTCAGTTCAATCTGCCCAGCAGAACTTGACTTTAAGTTTGAAAAAGGTTTTCAAAATGGCGAATGTCTAAGTCTGTTGTTAGCGCCAGAGGAAACTCGGGCTAGTGGCCAATGCGATGAAAATCCCATTTTTTTAATGTTCAAAATAGATGGGGAGAAGAGTAAAACCTTTGAAATATGAATTACAAAAATAGCTTAATACTGGTTAAAAGTACTGGTTTATTTCAAATCACTATTGAGTAAATTTTGCATATCATTAAACGTGCGACTCAAAAGACATCATTGTGGCTAACAAGGCTAAGGCAACACTCGGTAAGAAATCCATCGATGATAATCAGGGGTCAAAAAAGAGTGAAATCCGAAAATGAATCTGAACTACTGTTGAAATATATAAGGTTGAAATATTGAAATTTTACTTAAATTCTATTTGAAGTCGTCATTCCAAAAATTCTTAATTCCAGTTTTACGTTCTAGTGTTTGAATGTGCTGTGATACTTCATCACATAGCCTACATTTACTTTTCGTACGTTACAATTCAAAGTGTTGGAATTTGATGTGAAGTATTATAAATATTCATTTGTGTTTCAGATTCGCCGAACCAATGGGAAGCGAGAGAGCGAGTAGTAAGCATACGATACGTTATCAAAACGAGTGTTTAATATTAACTTATCAAGACATGAGATTAAGATATCAATAAAAGAAGTGAGACGAAAATGTTTCATTGATATGTCATAACTATCATATCATGTATTGTGTAAGGATAAAATCAAATATTTTCCTGTCGTGGGATTTCATTTTCCCATCCTGGCACGAGGCAACTTGCATGCTCTCTAGTGACGTCACAATAAAAGCAATGCAAAAAAATGACGCAGTTAAAAAAGCCATATCACAAGTTTGCTCTTAAAATACATAGGGGATACCTAACAGTGTCTTCAGTAATACCAAATATATTTCACGAATGTGGCTAACATTGTTCAATCTTTTACGAGGGCGCAGCACAATGACAAGTGTCTTATGAAAAAGATAGATACTGAAATAGATAAGATAGAAAATTGAAACTGGAGTTATTTGCTAATGCATTACCGTAGAAACACTATAAATAATACACAATTAGAATCACGCGTTGACGTGGTACAAATGTACATAAGTAATCTGTCTCATGATGGTGATTGAAATAAAAACTGTGTATTGTACATCCTTAGGTAGAGTACGGGGCGAAGTTTGAGGAGTGGCACAAGGTTTATTATGACGGGTCGAGCGGTAGAGAGAGAAACATAGCCGAGGTCGAGGATGGTTCCACTAGAGACTTTTTTGACATCCTGACACTGTACAATGAGGTAAGTGTATCTTATCATGAAATTAAAATTGTGTGCAGAGTGCTATATCTCATCACGTTCAAATATTTCGGCATTTTAATGTTTGTCAACATTATACATAATGACACAATATTGCAATGACGTCACTTTGACGACAACAATGCTTGATCAATGGTCTGAATCTGCTGTCAATTATTGATGCGTGGGAATCTGTGTTCACCGGCATGATTTTACAACTCTTTTAAAAAAGCTTTTCAAATTCCAAACAGTGCCTGAAATACGAACAGTAAGAATGACTAAAGCACTTACCTCTATAATTGTTTGTTTTAGAACAAGCGTTACATGATAAACATGAAGACCAAACAGTGTAACGTGACAGCCATCAATCGGCCGTTCCGTCACCGTGGTGTCCCCCCTAATGCCCAGTTCAGCTACGCCTTCACCCTCGGAGCCACGGGTTTTTCGGGCCAGTCCATTACAGTCCAGTCCTTTACAGCCAATGTGACGTTCGGAACATTCCACGGTACGTATATAAGGAACGGACACAATTCTGCGTCAAACTTTCCGATTTCTATTCCACAGTTCCATTCACATCAGTAAAAGATGTCAATTGTTCACCTTTTCCTAATTTAATACTTACATCTATACAATAAGCATATATTGTACTAATATGCAGCTTAATTTCTTTTCCAAGCGAAAATAGTATAGTTTTAAAAATCGACATCACCTAATTCAATCGGGAACCATCGGCACGTTCTGTAAACGAGAAAATAGAGTAGTTTTTGTGCTACAGTTATATCCAAACAGAAATTAAGGGGAGGCTACTGATACAGGAAAATAACGATGGAGTGGGAAAGGGTTCCTTAATGTTGATATCTATGTTAACTATGAAACATGCTTTTTCTGTTTTGGTGGTAAATGAATATTATCTCCACTTTTCAATTCGAACATTTAAATATACCCTCAAAACGTAAAGAGTATATACATGTAATACTGCACAATGTTTGTATCATTGACATACTGATCAACTTTCAGCATTTAGTGGAATGGCAGCAACTGGTTCACCCGTCGTCAGTATAATGTGTCCAGGCATTGGCATGCTGTACTGGGTGCCTTCGGCATGGCATTTCAGTGAGATAGCACTATAAAGTCAGCATCAGATCCGCGCTAATCACAAGGAGGCAAGCATACCAACATATACCCTGTCTCCTACATACACACACGCAAGCACACATACACTACACACTTGGAGGCACGTCCTTAAATGACCTTAGCTGTTAATAGGACGTTAAACAAAACTAGACCAAACCAAACGTACCGATCAAGATGAGAGGACACGTTTCAATGACGGTTTGTTTCCATGCAGGCAAAGACATTTGTTTTACATGTAAACATAACCGGTCATAAATTTGCTGTGCTATATATAGAAAATAAATTATTTATTTACATTGTATATTTACAGAGGAATATTTCGGAATGGTGACGTCACCATCTTGCGTTCCTGTCAACAACTTTTACTACAACCCGTCGGAGCAAACCAAGTCCGTAGTTGCGTAAGTAGTAAAAACTTAACAACAAAATTAATTGGAGCCACAAAACTCTTTATGTAGCATATTGTGAATCGAATGATATCGTCATATTGACAAGTGTTCTTTAATTTGTTAATTTATTGTCCATATTTCGGCTGTATCAATATTTTTATTTATTTATCACTGATATTGTGGGATTTTTTTTTCTTCGTTTAAACATATTTCATTGTACAAATATACAAATGGATTGGACAGCAAGTAATTACAACTTAATAAAAGTCCTCTCATCGATACATAAGGTAAAATTAGTGTATATGTTTATGGGGAAAGGGAAAAAGATAGGGTGGAGAAGGAAAGGTGGGGTGGGAGGGGGTGGGGGATGG